CTCTATGGACTATCCAGTGACTTAATCTAGGGGTTGGCTTGAATGAATTTGGAATGTTCACCTCCTGTGATCAGATAAAAAGGAAGATGAGACATACTATCGACTGTTTGAAGGGATCCCAAGACTGTAACAGGATTAAGATTGATCATGGTCATTTCAGGCAGGGCTCTCTCTAAAGAGGGCACCATCATGCCTTTACTCTGTAGTGCTTATGTTCTGCCTCTCAACCTCAAAGACAAGCATTTACATTTTGGTCTAGAGAAGCTACATTTGTTGAAATGCATTTGTGATATGTATTTTCAACCTGCATCACCCTTTGGGTTGTGTGTTCCATAAACTTACTAACGGCTCTACTGTCCTTAAACTCCTTTCTCCTCCTGTTTCATGGCCTGACACTTCCATTCCAATAAACTGGAGGTACATTTTCCCCTACTGATGTCATTAAAACAAGCTTAGCTGTTGAATGTGTGCCTTGCACATCATTGCTGCTACACATCTTAAGCCTCTTCTTCTTGGGGTACGGTAGGGTTGCACCCCATAAACCTTTTCTGGTGGAATGGAACCAGGTGGCCAACAATGGCCAGTGAGTTGTAAGAAGAATCAAACCACTTACCTGGTGTACATAAATGCCACTTGAAGAAATGTATAAGATACCTTCTCCTTCAATGGCGCCATGAATGGAAATGTTTGAGACATTGGCTGTGCCCCCGGCCCGTGGTCTCGGGTGCCTATGAAGAGCTCTATTGTCTATCTGCAATGGATAGAAAATGTACACAAGAAATCGAGTTTTGTTGTTTTGATCCCCTGGGATTTTAATATTGTTACCTCAAGATAACCATAATCTCTTCTTATTTTTGCTCTTGATAATAGAGAAGATGAGGGAAAGGCCATTTCCTCCATAGTAGGTGCCATATTCCATGTATTTTTTTAGGATCTGTTTTCTAGTTCACCACCCTCACTTACTTTATTTATTTATTTATTATTACTGAAATGTGGTTACATTTGAATCAGAGGAATATTCCAGCAAATTGGCCAATACCTAGAACAATCTGTTATTTCTTTGGTCCCGATTATTTAGCTAACCCATTGCCACTGAGTTGCTTTCCACTCATAATGACCCTCTGGGAACAGTTGGAACAGCCCTATAGGATTTCCAAGGCTGTCATATGTGTAGAAGCTGCCACATCTTTCTCATGTGGAGTGGCTGGTGGATTTAGACCACCTCTGTGCCACCAGGGC